ACCCAAAAATGGATTCCATATAAACCTTTTTTTCTCAAAATTTCACTAGGGAGGCACACCCAAACCATAACCAAGTCTATTATCGCTTCTTTTCCCAACTTTTCAAACTTTTCACTTTCCAAATCTCCATAACATGGCATATCATTTTGGAATATTTCCAAGACATCTTCTTCAACCTCTTCACATACTTTATCCACCCGTTGCTCAATGAAATCTGAAACTATAAACTTCTGGAGAACAGATGCCACAGTTCCATATAATTCTTCCAATCTCTTAAAACATAGATTTTTAACTTCCACACTGTATTGCTTGACTGCTTGCATCAAAACATTCTGTAGGTCATTCATAATGAAAAGTAAAGACATTTTCAATGAGATCCACTCAGCAACCAAAAAGAAAAATTTCTTTCTCGCTCTTTTTTTTCCCCTCAGATCCGCAGCCATTTTAAAACTTCCAAATTTCTTTAAATATACTTCATTAATCCAAAAGGATAGCAGTATTAATATCACCAGCCAGTATACACCACAAATTCATTGCAGCTAAAACTTTCCAGAGCCGGAGAAGTAACAATTTATCTCTTTCCAGTCTGTAGCCAAAAAAAAAGTGAAAGTAAAAAACAAACAAAAGTATTCCAGAGAAACGGCAAGTCCACAGCCATTTTCTCTCATTTTAAATCACCACAAAATAAAGAAGATGTTAGTATATTTCAGAGTCAAAGTCAGAAACAATCCACTGTAAATCTGAACCTCCTGTTTAGTTCCGTCTGCTTAAAATTTAAGTCCAAATACCTTCCAACAGCAGAGGTGGGAGCTGCATCTGGCTTCGCTCCAAAAGAGGAGTGAAGGCGCCATAGGGCGCGGAGACCATCCAGACTCCGGGCGAGCTAGCATCTCTCAACCCCGATTATAACAAAACCGGAGTGAGAGGAAGCTCGAGCCCTATCCGGACTTACTCACCCCCCCCTCTTTGCCCGAGGGACGAGGTTCCGAGCTGAGAGACAGCTAACGAACGCTGTCTCTTCAGGCTTTGACGCGCTCCCAGGTGGGCGGCTAACAAAAGCCGCCATGCGATGCAGCCTGTTACCACCGGAAGCTCCACACACAGAGTTTATATACACCGTATATACAATGTGTGGTGTGTTTGTGTATGTGTGTGTGTAAATTATCAAAAATGCAAACAATAGTTCCATATTCCAAATGTACTTCTAATACAAAGGATTTTTGCAATCTCTACATTTGTTGTAAAACCTATGCTCTTGCACTGAAGAATATGAAGAAGCTGGTTTCTTTAATGCCTTAGGGATGGTAGTTTAGGGGCAAGCACTATTATCCATTTAAATGTTGGAAATAACAGTACTGCCTCTTCTATCAGTCTGCCCTTAATTAGGTTGTAGCAATAGCAATAGCACTTAGACTTATATACCACTTCAGAGTGCTTTACAGCCCTCTCTAAGCGGTTTACAGAGTCAGCATATTTGCCCCCAACAATCTGGGTCCTCATTTTACCAACCTCGAAAGATGGAAGGCTGAGTAAACCTTGAGCCGATGAGATTCGAACTGCCGAACTGCTGGCAGCCGGCAGTCAGCAGAAATAGCCTGCAGTACTGCATTCTAACCACTGTGCCACCTCAGCTCAAAGGGAAAGAAAGTAGTGACGGCTATTAAATCAGTCTTGTTAAAAAGACTAAATCCATCATGATATTCCTGAGCTGCATCCAAGCTGTTCCCACATCAAAATGATTCATAAGAATTGCTTTAGGCCATAGGCATCTCTTNTGTATTATAGACTATTGAATATGAGGGTGAAGGTTCGTTCTCCAAGCTTGTGGGTTGGTTTCTGAATGTTTCATTACTAGGCTAGGTAACATCTTCAGCAGAGTTTGGGGGATGTCAGCGTCAGTGTTCTTCTGTTCATAAGGGCTTCAGTTGTGGGTGTTTCAAGTGAGGGTCTTGTGATGAGTCTTGTGATGGGGAGATTACATCAGGTCAGGGTTATTGGGAGGTGAACTGCTGTTGAGGGAAGGGAGCTTGCGTGGATTGGTTGAGGGACAGTGCTGTCTTTGATTGGCTTTGTGGTTGATTTTGATTTTGAGGGTTTGTAGGCTGGTTGTAGATCGATGTGTCTGTTGATGGAGTTGCTTATGGAGTGCCAGGCTTCAATGAACTCACGAGCGTGATGGGTGGTAGCATTGACACACCCACACCTGAAGTCCTTATGAAAAGAACAATATTGACACTGACATCCCCTAAATTCTGCTGAAGATGTTACCTAGCGTGGTAACAAAATGTTTGGAAACCAACCCCCAAGCTCAGAGAACGAACCTTCACCCTCATCCTATATCTGAGCTACAGATATTCACCACTATTACTATTGAATATTCTGTCTACTGTATCAGTAATGTAATTCAGACACAACATCTTTGCAATTAACCACATAAGGCATCAGCAATTTGAATGGGCACTGTATATGGCATAGCACTATATGATATCAATTCTTGGCACATGTGAAACAGTCCAAAGAGTAGATGATATACAGTAGGTAGTCTTTCTAGCATAAAACATTGAGATTTTGAACTTGAATCTTTACGCTGAATAAATACATGACAATTCTTTACAGCCTAACTTAAATCTGAACTTCTAATATACTTCAATTTTAATACAGAACAAGTATTCCAAAGGAAGGAACAGAGATTTTTACGGTGTCTCTGAACATTACAGAGTTGAAAACTGAAGATTATGATCAGCACTTTATTTGCCAGGCAGGGGAAGTTGCAGCATACA